TCGGGTTTGACTTCTGCGAAAATTGGGTTTATAAAAAAAAGACAGAATGTTCAAATTCATGTTGACGTCAGTAATTCAATGAACTTATCAATGACTTAACAAATTAATATATTGTTAACATCAACTGATGTTATTATTAAATTTTGTATGATTTATCTAAGTCGAAAACTTTGTGAGTAAATTTGTCATCGTTTTTTGTTCAATGATATATTTGTCTTTACTACCTAACTTTGGGGGTGGGTTTAGGTATTTTTGCTTTCTTTTTTTTTCCCCTTTTTTTATGCAAAGAAAACATTTTTGTTATGGAGAAGACAAGAGTTTTGTAAATGGTTGAATCGTGGGTTTTTTTTTTTTTTAATGAATGAAGTATTATGCCTTTTCCTGTAATTTTCAATTAAAAAAGAATATGATCAATAGATTATACAAGAATTTTCTAATTTTTTGTTAGAGAAACATGTTTATTGGAATACAGAACAAGAATTATTAATTGAGAAAATAACTCTTAATATTAGGATTACCTCCTATCCAACTATTTAAATTATGCAATTCAAATTGTACAATGTTTGTTTTTATTACTCGAAGTTTTAGAGAACAAAGGCTAAGAATCCATGGAAACTAAAGCTAGGAGCTCCTAAGTGCCTGTGTGATAGAAGCTAATTTTATTTAAAAAGTTTTTACTAAGAAAGTGATTAGAAAAGTATTGTATAAAAAGTTGATGAATTTTATAGTAAAGTTTTGTTAAAATTTTGTTAAATTATTAATTTTTCTTTGGTAAGAAATTGGCATATGTAAAGTTGATTTTTTTGTTAGTATATCAGATAATGAATTATATAATAGGAGATAGGCTTTCGCTTTTCAATTCCCTCTTCACCCGTCTTAGAATTTAAATTTGAGAGTTTTAATGTGGAAACTTAAGTTTTTAACTATTGAAATGTTTTTTGAGAATGACATATGCAAAGTTGATAGAAAAGTTGTTAAGTAAGTTTTACATATAAAAAAATTGAGAAAGTCTTTTTTTCTTAAAAAAAAAGTGTAAATAAAAGTTTATAAGTTGAGAATTAGATTAGTAAAAATAAATATTAAAAATGTTATTTTTATTCTTATTTTTTTGAAATATTAATATGTAAAAATATATAAATAACATTTATAGAATTATAAAGAGGAAGTTTAAAAAAGTTAGGTTAAATGTCAATATTAGTCCCTCAACTTTAAAGTTTTGTATAATTTTTATCCATCAACTATTTTATGTACTTTTTTGATTCCCAACTTCAAAAACTGCACAATTTTGATCATTCCATCAATTAAGTCACACTTGACCATTAAATTATTCTAGAATGGCGCTTTTTTTATGATGTGTAATAACATATCATATAATTAGCTTATGTGGACAAAAAAATGTCAAGTCAGATTCCACAACATCCATTGAATAATTTACAAATTAAAAGACAAAAATACAATTCTACCCTCACTTTCATCCTCTTCATGGTTCTCCTTCTTTCTCACTATTCATCTTCCCTTCTCCTCTACCATTGTGTATCTCCCCTTCCCTATCCTTTCTCTAGCCACTCACTCCCTCCCTTTTCCTTTCCCAGTCGTCCTAGCCTTCCTTCTCCTTCTTTTTTCGAAAATCATTTATGGGTTCAACAAACAAGATTTAGGTTCAAAAAACCCATATTCGAGTGTCACAAACCTAGATTCTTCTAAGGATTTTGTTATTGTTTTTGATTGATTTTAATTGTCATTTCATTTTCAATGATTATGTGTGTTTTTCATGGTGTTTGTGTAGTTAATTGAAAGGTATGTTCTGTATCTTTAAGTTATCATATAGAGGGAAAGGGACAAAGGAAGGAGGAGAAGAAGGAGAAAATGTCAAAGCACTAAACAAAAGGGGATGTAAAAGGCGAACCCAAATCATCTAGGTTTAAAGAACCCTTTGATGGGATCACAAGAACCCTCTTTGGGTTCCTCATGAACCCAAAACTAGGTTCATGATGAATCTAAATAGTCTGGGTTTGCAATGAACCCATATAAGATTTGGGTTTGCTACAAACTTAGATTAGCTTTGGGTTCTTCATGAACCCAGTCATAGCTAAGCAAGGGGGATGAGGGGGAGGAGAGGAGAAACAATGAAGAAGAGAGAGGAATGATGGTTGGAAGCAGTGGTAGTGGAGAGGAGAATATAGAGAGAGCAGAGGAGAACAATGGCAAGAAGAATAAATTAAGGGCATTTTAGTAAACATTTAAAGAATTAAAAATAACAATTAAATCTAATTTGGTATTGTCTAGCTAAGTTAATTGTATGATTTGTTATTAACATGCTATTACAAGAAATAAGGAAAATGCCATGTGGACTAAGTTAACGAGACTAATTGATGAAGGAATTAAAATTGTGTAATTTTTGGAGTTGAAGGATTAAAAAAGTGCATAAAATAGTTGAGAGAGAAAATTATGTAAAATTTTAAAGTTGATGACCCAAAATTAGCATTTAATTAAAAAGTTATCATAGGGTTTCCCAACCAAATAGAATCTAAAAAGTACCAAAGCTTCTGGTGATTTTACTGTAATACCCATGGGCAATTTACATTTTATCCATAAGGACCATGGCTTATTTTCCGAGGGTAAGTTTGCCCTTTTCCACATAATATAAATCGGAGTTGATAATATTCACTCCAGTGCAAGCCCTAGAATCCTTCTTATTGTTTCCCTCATAGTTCTCTTCAGCGGGTGCGCGACTTTCTCCTGGAACGCTGAATGATGACTGATTCCGAAGCAGGATACCAGGGAAACGGACGGGACCTTGAAAACAACTACGCCGTTGACGGTTCTCCTCAGGCTCCCGACAGCGGCCACGGCGGCGCCGATGTTCTCAGCGATTCCAAATCTCGCGTACGCAATGTTGCCTCCATGAGTTTGTTCTGCGATTCGCCTATTCATCAATTTCTTTAGTTCTATGATATGTGTTTTCGTTTGAGTTTCCTTTTTGCTTTTAGGTTTGAGGCGGATTTTACTATTTCTTGCACAGTTTTGTTAGTTTCGCTGTTTAGTTTCTTTTCAAGTAGATTTATCAGCTTTAATTTGAGCTTGAAATCAAAAATCATATGAATAGTCGTGTTAATGGCTTCACTCTCTGGAGTTTGTGTATTATTGTGCTTTGTTCCGTAGTAGGTGTAGCTTTACAATGAACAATTGTTGATGAAAATTAGCTATCTGCAGCATGGATCTCGTGATTACGAGAGAGAGTCCTCGAAAAGTAGGGAGAAGGAGAGGGAGAAAGACCGGGACCGTAATCGGGACAGGGACAGAGACAGAGCCCGGGAGAAAAGTAAGGATAGGAATAGGGAGCGAGAAAAGGATCGTGATAGCTATCATAGGGATCGGAGCAGGGAACGCAGTGAGAGAAGGAGAAGAGATGGAGATGACGATGATGATTATTACCGAAGCCGAGATTATGATAGGTAATTGAATCTTCATTAATATTTTATTTGTCTTTTCATTTTTGTTTGGGCCTTTTACTCATAAAGCCAGTTTGATCCTCTTGTCTGATGGTTGATGTTGGTTGAATGTGCTATAGAAGAAGAGATTATGACAGAGACAGGGAGGATAGGCACAGCCGCCGGTCTCGATCTCATTCAACGGCTAAATCTGAACATAGGTCTAGGTCACCTTCACCTGCTCAATCTCACTCCCGCTCTCCTTCAAAAAGGTATGCTGTAAGAGAACTTGATAATAACTTAAATAGCTAATTTCATTTACTCTGGAAATTGATTTAGTGTCTAGTGGTGCTAATTATACTAGTTTCATAGTGCTTGATTATTAAACCTCTGACTATAGAATGTCACTATTCTAAGAAGTTTTGCAGTTTGTATCTGTTATTTTTTTTCTTGTTTTTGATTTGTTAATTGTGTTTACTTGCAGCAAAAGGAGAAGTGGTTTTGATATGGCACCTCCAACAGCAATATTAACTGCTAGTGCCACTGCTGGTGCTGCTGTTGCTACAGGTACATATGCCCTTGCACATATGCTCAAAATTTTAGTCTTTGTTAACTGCTATTTTCCTTTTTGGTTGATTTAGTGTGGAAAGTTCGTATCAAAATACTGGTGTAATTTCGGTAAGCTGTATATTTTCTTCCATTTTGCATATAGCCTTTTAAGCTACAGTCTGAGGAATGGCTGAAATATTATTTAAATTTCTTACTGGTTGAAATAATTCTGGAACTGAGAGAGTTTTGGTTTGTTTTTTTTTTTTCTTGTGTTTGTTGGTTGTTTCTTTCTATGTCTTTGTCTTTGTTGTAAGAAGGCAATGGCGTGAGCCGACTTCTGTAGCCTTTATGTACAAGGAGGAATCAATGCACCAGTATAATGGTATCGTTCGTCTTCATCTGGCAACTATTGCCTTTGCCTGTTTTGGTAGTCTTGCAAATTTCCTCCTGAACTTGTATATGATATACTGCTTAACTGTTTCTGTAAAATGCATTGCTAGAGGATTGGACAAGCCCTAGGGATTGAGGCAGAAAAGTCATTTTGGTGCTTCAATGTCTAATTGACATTATTGTTGATTTATGCTTTACTTTCTAATATGAAATTTGAACCCTTTGTTTTTTCAGGTCAGATTCCTAGCCCTAGCCCGCCCATCCCTGGAGTTTTGCCAAACTTTTTTCCTTTAGCCACCGGTCAGGTATGCATCACCCCTTTGCATATGATAGTTAAGTTATTCTATGTCTTAACATTATTTCCTTGTCCCATCCACAGCAGTTTGGTGCTCTTCCTGTTATGCCTGTTCAGGCAATGACTCAACAGGTTGGTTGAATTCAGAAAATATTTTTGCAGTTTTTTTTTTATATGACCAGGACTTATATGGGATAATTATGATAATAGGCTACCCGTCATGCTCGGCGAGTTTATGTTGGAGGGCTATCCCCTACAGCAAATGAACAGGTTTATTCTCTATCATGATAATTATTCTTATGAATTATCTGTTCAGTAATGTACTGACTCTACATGTCAAACAACAGTCTGTTGCAATCTTCTTCAACCAGGTTATGGCTGCAATTGGAGGGAACACAGCTGGTCCAGGTAACCTTGGCTTATTCAATCTATATTTGCTTTGTTAAAGTACCTTCTTGTGGTATTGTTAACTCTTTCCTTATGTTTGTTATTCACAGGGGATGCTGTTGTTAATGTATATATAAACCATGAAAAGAAGTTTGCTTTTGTGGAGATGAGATCTGTTGCTGAGGCCAGCAATGCAATGGCTTTAGATGGGATTATATTTGAGGTACTTTTACTTGTTTTGGTTTTGATTTTGATACTGATAAAATTAGGAAATCAGCTAAAGATATAATAAGCTTTACCTATTTGAATCCAGGGGGCTCCTGTGAAGGTGAGAAGACCAACTGACTATAATCCATCACTTGCTGCAACTCTTGGTCCTAGCCAGCCTAGCCCCAATCTTAACCTAGCTGCTGTTGGTCTCACTCCTGGATCTGCTATTGGTCTTGAAAGTCCAGACAGAATATTTGTGGGTGGGCTACCTTATTACTTCACAGAATCTCAGATTAGGGAGTTATTGGAGTCTTTTGGGCCCCTTCGTGGTTTTGATCTAGTAAAAGATAGAGAAACTGGAAACTCAAAAGGCTATGCATTTTGTGTCTACCAAGATCCTTCCGTTACAGACATAGCTTGTGCTGCTTTGAATGGAATTAAAATGGGTGATAAAACTCTCACAGTAAAGCGTGCAAACCAAGCTGCAACCCAGCCTAAACCTGAGCAGGAGAATCTATTGTTCCAGGCACAGCAGATAGCTATGCAGGTAATTGGAAATTTTTTTTTTTTTGCCTTTTTGCCTCTTAACGTCAATTATATTTGTAATTTAATAGTGCCTTTTGCCTTTTTTGTTCATTTACTGATCCATTGTCTTTCAGAGGCTTCTACAACCACAAAGTGCTGCCAGTGCTACCAAGGTTGTATGCTTGACTCAAGCACTTAGTGAAGAAGATCTCAAAGATGATGAAGAGTATGAAGACATTGTGGAAGATATGAGACAAGAGGGGGGAAGACACGGTAAATTTGTTTAGCAATCTAAGTGACTTTTTGTTTTTTTCTTTTAAATTCTGAAGCCTCTTATATGTTTATTAATTTTCCTCTATTTTCTTGTGTTTATATTTCTGTTTTACAGCCTTTTCTAGTCTCACAATCTGCTAGAATCAGGCCTAACATACAAAACAGAGGACTCCATAGCCCTTTCCATGTTCTTTAATAGATTGCTTTCTTATCTATGTATTTTGTTTCAAAATCTTTCTGGAATCTAAATCTTCAGACCAAATGTGCAGGTGAAGTAGTGAATGTTGTCATCCCACGTCCAAACCCAAACGGAGAATCATCACCAGGTGTAGGAAGGGTTAGTACGAAACTTGCGTGCTCTGTTTCTTTCATTCGGCCTATACTTCATAACAATTTTCACTTTCCTTCAAGTTACTAATAATTTGCGGTTTCTTATTTTATTATGCATAGGTGTTTTTGGAGTATGCCGATGTAGATGGTGCCAAAAAAGCCCAAGCTGCAATGAATGGAAGGAAGTTTGGTGGGAATCAAGTTGTGGCAGTTTTCTATCCAGAAAACAAATTTGCCCAGGGAGAGTATGATGGCTAGTTACTATCGTTTTGAAATTCACATAGAATGGAGCGAATCAGTCGTGTTAGCTTTCTACTTTGATTTCCGCAAGTCAAAGAGAAATGATGCATTCTGGTCTTGTCTTCATATGAATTATTGTAAAAATGTTAGGTTTTTATAATAATTTTGATTTTCATTGTTAGGTTAATCATCATAAGACGCATTGTAATCATAGCTCTAAACAGATTAGTAAACTTTAGACATGCCTAAGATTTTACATTCAGTGTTGCTATTGGCTGTATTAATTGATAACTATTTACCTTGTGTTGCATGCCAAAACAAACTCTATAACTCGTGTACTCTGTTTTCTCTCGTAGTGTTGGTTACAATTCATAAATTAAAATAATTATAGTTTTAATCCCTCAACTAAGTTAATTGTTTCAATCAAGTCTCCTTATGTGCTAATTTTGTATTCGAGGTTAGATTTGATAAATTATTAGTTAGGTTTAATTTACTACAATTATCAATTTGACATTCGGACTCAATGTCAAATGGACTAATGGTTACAAATTCTAATTGAAATAAGTTACATCCTCCACAAGATATTTACAAAGGGAAGCTTGCCGATCTACAATTAAAACTGCGAAATCGGATTCATCAAATGGGGTGTTCACCTGGCATTTAAGCTCCGGTCTCGGGCACTACAATTTTTAGTTTCCACCTTCACAAAATCGCAAATTCATTTTCATTTCCTTTGACTACTAAGTTCTGTTTAAAATTCAAATTCACAAACACATAACTGGTGGCGAATATGTTACCGTACCGGCAGCTCTATTAATTAATGTTGATGGTGTCTTCCTTTCCTCGCCTCTGCAACAATCGGTTCTTGCGAATCGCACACCTGCGTCTCGAACTTACACCCAAACCTCTTGTTCAACGACCCTCTCCATCCTCCGCCTTGTGTGCCCCCCTTCTCGAACTTCTCGATTACTTTCCTCATCATTGAGCACTCTCTCTCCAGCTGATGCACTCGCGTTCTCATGCCATCCATGTCCACTCGCAGCATCTGATTCTCCCTCACTGCCGCCCTCCACGTACTGCTCTGTCCCACCGCACCTAACGCAGGACCTTCCCCTTCTTCTCCATCACCATCCTCTCTTCTCATCGCTGATAATCTCCCCGCTTCGGTCTGCGTGGTCTCCGCCGCCAGCAGAGTCCCGGTAATTGCGCACCGGAGTTGTAACTGCTCCAAGAACAATACTTGTACAACTGTGCGTAATGGCAATCGCTCATTTTGAGCTGCGTGAGTGCACGCCTCTAGCGTGAATTTTTGATAATCGATTGTTCCGCAGATCTTTTCGCTCTCAGACTCCTGTAGCCATGGATGCGCCTATTAAATAGCCAAAACCGAAATCAAATCCATGAATATGATGAGTCTTATTTTTTAATTTTTTTTTTCTAAGAAATTCTTCGGCGTTTTACCTTGAGATACACATCAATGGCTCTGTAGAGACCGTCGTCGTAGACTCTGGCTTGATCCGGAAGAGAGATTGCGAGGTTGTAGAACTTCTCAGGCTTGAGATTCGCATCCGATGCAATCTCAGAGAGATAACCGTCGATTAGTTTTCCGACTAGCATCAAGGCCGCAGATCCAAGACTGTTACTATCATCTCCGGCTTCGGCTTCAATTCCGGTTGCATTTCTCTCCTCCATTCCATCCAGGAAGTGGCTTAGAATCCTCTCCACGCAATCAACATCATAGAGCGTTTCATTGAGATAAGAATAGCTTGGAATCAGTAGATCGTCTAAGGTGGCTTGCTCCAGCTGCGATCCGATCTTCTTCTCCAAAGCGGCTTTACATGATTCAGAGGCGTTTATGATATTTGCAGTTCTCAATAAACCAAACAGGAATCGTGTAGATATTGACGATCTGGAGCGCTTCTCTAGAGGAAGATTCGCGATTATAGTCTCCAACAGCTCTCGCTGTTCCTGCTCTGACGCTACGGAGGCGGCAGAGGATGGCTTTCGGCTGGACCTTGAAATTCCGTGGATGTACTTCTTGGCGTAATGCATAAGGCAGGATTCTATGATATTTGGATTCACATCTCGTGTTTTCATGGCAAGTATCAATCGCTTGAACATCGCCAAGCTCAACTGCGCCAGATCTTCAAATTTGCAGGACTCTGCATTCCTCCCCCGGCCCAAATTTTTTCTCCGCACAATGTTCTCGACCTTGTTACACGGAGGCTGTCTTGGAGAGCCTCGAATTTCATTCGTTCCATCCTTTACTGGCCAGCCAAACGGAATCGGATCTGCAGAGGAGGCCGTGGAGGCGACGGAATCGATGCATCTCTGAACAATGCCTAGATTCTCAGCGAGGGGCAACACTGGCTCGCATGATTTCAGGGCCTTCAGTGATTCCTTTGGGCTTTTGAAGACTGATTGGGAGAGAAACCGTTCGGTCTTGGAAATGAGGTTGTCCTCAGAGTAATCCTCCGTCATTTCAAGGAACTCGGCGGCACAGCGGAGCGGGACGACGTTGGAAGAAGAAAGATTGATCTTGACGCTGTAACAAAACTTGGCAGCCATTTCAAACGTCCCCGACCCACCCAAAAAGTCCGTAAGGGATATTTGGCAGAGGCGGTCGTCTTCTGCGCCTTCTTCTTCTTCTTCCTCCTCCTCCTCCTCTATTTCATGCTGTCCCTCCTGTGATTGTCGTCTGGTGGCAGAAGGCATCGTCGTTCTCGCCTCTTGCTCCGTTATCATCTGGTGAAGCTTTCGACTTTTCGACATCAGAGGGAACTAAAACATCACAAAAACAGGATGTTCAGAGCAGTACATAACAGAGAATTAATTTGGGTTTTATGAAAGCTTAATTACCTTGTGAAGATGAAAGTTCATATCATCAACTTGAATGATTATGTCGCTAGGCAAACCGGTGGTGCAAAACCTGCAAGAAAAATACCAAAAAGAAGAATAAATTTTGCATCGCTCTTTTTATGCAAAAGGGAAAGTGAGATTCATCAAGAGGTTGCTAGAATCAAACCATGCTTGTTTTCCTTTGGGCCTCTCGGCTGTGGCTGCCATTTTTTCCGGTGACAAAATCCCTTCTTAGTTAAGATATTTGCTAACTGGCTGCAAACCTAAACAAAAAACCGTAAGTTCCAAGGTCATAAGAGTATCATTTGCAGAGGAGTAGGTTGAGAATTATGAAAATGTGGCGTTGGGAAGGAAGAATTTTGGTAGTATAAAAATACCAAAAGAGATTGGAATCCTAAAAGAACCAGACGGGACAAATATGGAGCATGTAGACGAACAGAAATCGAAAAAGGAGTGAGTATTTCTTTACCTGAATAAATAAAAAATTCCTTCTCTGAATGACACCAGAATCTCAACCACTCTTTCTCTCTCACTCAAAACCATTTAAAAAAGAGAAGAAAAGGAAAGAATGGATGTGGAAAAGGAATATTTTTTTTTAGAAGAAAATCTCTATTGACTATTTATACAATCCTCACCACACAAGCGGTTAATCTGAAGGAAGAAATGGGATATAATTTCCAAATCATTAAACTAAAGAACGGAAAGGAAAACAAATGATTTCAAAACAAAACAGCGAAAGAATCGAGGAGAAAAGACTAAGGAAGGAATATTTTTCTTAAAAACCCTAAAATTAGTCTAAACTGAATCTTTTCTTTCTTTTTCTTCTTTTTTTTTTTTTTTGGGATAAAAGGTCTAAGCTGAATCTTCTGATAATAATTGTTGCTTTTGAATGAAAATGGAAGAATGCCAAAATGAATGAGGAAGTGGACTATAATGGGTATGGGGGCAACCATATTTCTGCATTCACGTGCTTCGGCGACTAAAAATTGAACAGAATGCGCTAAAGGAGAGGAAAGCATTTAGGGGGCACAGCACATCACATACATGGCCCAGTTATAGCCATCTTTGATCAAGGACAGGGGAAGGTTTGAACCGTAGAAGGCCTAATTCTTACACAAGTCAATATGTTTGAAAATGACTTCCGGTTATAAAATGAATAATGGTAATGTGGGTCACATAATTTATTCGGACCAGGTGTTCCTCCGCTCCCCACCGCTTTGAGAAATCCGATGCCGCCTTAAATCATCGATTTTGAACCTCCTATATATTTATTCTCTTGAGATTTCAAGTGATTTGAGAATAAGGTATATCTTTAATTATTTTATATATAAACTAAATTATATTATATTATATTAATTATTGGATGAAAAGTGAATCATTTGATATTTGTGTATTTTTTCATCTAATAATTTTTATTTTATAATTTAATGTAATTTAGATTGTTAAAATAAG